TTTCCTCTTACATTTGATGCTGTCGACTTTGAGCATTTCTTAATTTAGGGGTAGCCTCTCATTCTTCCTATTCTGGCATAGAAAATTATCTTGTATCTAAGATAAATCCTGTCAACTTTAAGATGCCTTACATCTTGTTAATTAATTTTTGAATTGCACTCACTGTTAAGTGGACAAATGCAGAGGTATTTTACATGCAGCAAGGTTCCACAGACAGGATGACCAGCTGTCATGGCTTTTCCTGGGCAGTTCTGGTTTTTCATTAAATGTTCTGGTGTTCTGACAATTTCCTAATAATAGTTCAAATGTCCCAGTTTTCAGCTTTTCTGTGTTGTCATGTATAAGCTGCATCTGGTGGGAGAAAATCTGTTTGAAATTGGATCCTTCTTCCTGCATCACATTGCACTGCATGCATGCAGGAGCATGTCTTCACTACTTTTATTTTTCGTGCCTATGCCTCCACTGTTGATAACGCTTTTTAAACAATCTGCATAATAGTGTTGCCAACTGTGAGTCGACATATTCTGGGAGATGTCATCATGTGACCTTTCACCTTCAAATGGCCCTATTCAAGACTTTTACCATTGGTCACTAAACATGTGGATCATCATGGAGCCCTAATAACCAATGTCTTTTCACTGGGTCTAGGTTGGTTCAGCTAATAACATTTTTATCTCCAAATGAAAAGATTGTGGGTTCAAACACCTCAAATGCATAATCTAAGCATTTTACTGCAGTACTGAGGAAATGCAGCAGTTGAAGGTATTGTCCAAAGAGACATTAAATGGAAGTTCCATCTGGCTGTTCTGATTGATGTGAGAGATCCCTTGCATCTATCAGAAGCACATGGAAGTGTCGTGGTCAAGTTGCATCTTGAAAATCTGATCACTGTACAGAAAAACAACATAGATAACCAGTTCAGAGATAGTATTCATTCAGTGACATGCTGGAGAATTTGAGATAACAAGGTGTAGAAATAGATAACCAGTTAAAGTTTTTATTGGTACCCAATTGTCAATTTGGCAGAACTGAAGTCTTTTTTCTATTGCCTTTACTTCTATAGAAAAGGTGCTTACCTGCTGAAACGTAAAAAGGCATATCTCATTTGACTCTCAGCAAGCATGCGCAGAACAAATGAAATCATTTAGGGCCGCACGGTAGCTCAGTGGTTAGCACTGCTGCCTCAGCATCAGGGACCTGGGTTCGATTCCAGCCTTGGGTGACTGTGTGGAGTTTGCACATTCTCCCCATGTCTGCGTGGGTTTCCTCCCGGGTGCTCCGGTTTCCTCCCAAAGTCCAAAGATGTGTAGGGTAGGTGGATTGGTCATGCTAAATTGCCCATAGTGCCCATGGATGTTTAGGTTAGGTGGGTTAGATGTGGGAAATGCAGGGATAGGGGAATGGGTCTGGGTGGGATGCTCTTCGGAGGGGTGGTGTGGACTTGTTGGGCTGGATGGCCTGTTTCCACACTGTAGGGTTTCTATGATTTCTGTAATTGATTGTGGTCTATGCCTGTGGCCTATGTTGATCGCATCAGAATTTGACTGTATGCTTATACCACCCGTTGGCAAACATTCAGCGTCTTTGGTGTCCCTGATAAGTTCGTACAATTGGTACCTACCTTATTTTTTGTAATGATCCAGATTGGATATGCTATGAGATACCTTCATAACAGAGGACTTGAACCCAGATGTAAGGACACTGTTGCTGTGCCACAAGTGCTCAACCCCGCCTCCCTGGTCTCTGACTTATATTCTTGCACTAACAGCTTTGTGACCGTTGGAAGAAACAAGAGTAACACTGTTTTCCAATCAACTGTGGTTTTAGTTAAATCATACAGATTTTGATCTTTCCTGATACTTTTGATGCAGTGATGGATTTCATTTCTAGAATGGAATACTTGCATAAAATCCATCAAGCAATGCTCTTGGCATTGTACAATTAAATGTGTATGCCTGCAAAGATGCTCGACAGAGAAATGTTGACCAGGACACTGAGAAAGTTTCATGTGCTTCTATTAGTTGCAAGAGTTCTTTTTGATCAATCAGAGCAGTGAGATGGAACTGCAATTTGATATTTCTCTGGACTGCACCTTCAACTGTGCTGGATTCCCTCAGTACTGCAGTGAAATGCTTAGATTATGCATTTGAGAGATGCTTGAACCCAGAATCTTTTCGTTTGGGGATAAAGTTATTACCAAGTGAACCAAGCTGTGTACTTTGCATTGTGGAAGATTGTAGCATGCTTTTGTCTGGCTGTCTGCCAGAAGTCTGCTATGCCTGCTGGAACAGGCTTTTGTTTGCCATGCTGAAAATGGCATTCAGATTGTACTAGTACTGTTTATGGCTGCCTCTGCTGAATTAAACCTGCTCATCAATCAGTTCTTTTCTGTATCATCCAATGCTGTTATCCTTAGTTCAAACAAAGATTTGCTGTTTTCTGCCAGTTGACTTGAGCCACCTGAGAATAGATTCTACTTAGTATCTCCCTCCCATCGTGGACCCTCCAAGAGTATTTCAGATTATTCCAATGTATGCTGTAACCATTATCTGACCCCAACACTTTTGGCAACCCTTACATTGCAAACCTAACCTCATTAGTTTTGACACTGTGCTATTGGGCGTAAACTCAACATTTTTCATTTGCTGCTATTGACTAAAACAAGGTGCTCTTTTTCAATTTCAAAGAAATCAACATGTTTTCATTCACAGATTTCTTGCATTTAATGGAATGGAAGGAACCTTGGTTCGATCATTTCATGTTCTGAAGTACACTTAACAACTGTTTCCTTACTGTTCTTTATCTCTGTAGAGGGTCAGTTAGCTGGACAGCTGTTTTGCGATGCAGAGTGATGCCATCAGTGTATGCTTAATTCCTGCATCAGCTGAAGTTACCATGAAGTACTCTCCTCTCAACCTCTCTCCTTGGCAGAGGCATGGTGACCCTCCAGTTAATGAGAGCAGCCATATGGTCCAGTAGGATTATGGCTATATCTTTCATATGGATTATCCCTATGAGTTCTTCATAGAATTTGTTTAACAAACTCTGTCTAATCCTAGGTAGATTAATGATTCTTGCATCAAGGCTGTGTCAGGATTTATGTTCATTCTTTTTCATGTGTGAAATACACCTACAATTTCTCCGCATCACACTTTTCAGGCCAACAATTCATAATATAATTGAGCATTTAACTGAATACTGTATCTTTGCAAGTATCTACCCTAATTTTTTTATGGCAGACACTGTCATGTCAGTTGTGCATTAAAGTAATTCACAAGTAGCACAGTGGCTAGAAATTAATCAGTCTTAATGGAAAATCTTGAATATCTCCACTTTCCTGATTTGCCGACTTATAACATTTACTTTTGTACTGATGGACCACCAAAATTGATGTCCATCTCTGAAGCTATGTTACTGCTACTGCTAGGAATGGGGGTCTCGCTCATAATTTGTTCAAAGAAGTAAGTTGTCACTTAATAACGTGAATACCCTTCTGTTCAAATATTTGTCGAACTTAATAACACTATATATGGGTTGTTAGTTCTCAAATTGAGTAATTTTGCTCTGACTTTGTTAAAGTATATGAAACATAAGGTGCAAGCTTTTCATATACTTGCATATATGAGAGAACCAGAGGTGAGAGTGGTCACAGGCAAAAAGGTCTGAAATTCTTTTGTGACAATATGTCGTGTGTGCGTTTTATGATCTTCTATGAAATGGTTTCATTTTATGATTTTATGAAACGCAAATACTTCAAGGTCATCTCAAATGAGTGGAATTTAATGGACTTCAAGGGGGTTGCAGCATTTATTTTCTCTTCATTTTATCTTTATTACCATCAAGACTGTAGTGCCATACGTTTGTATAAAATCACCAAAGTGACTTCAGTTAGTGAACGTAGTTAGTGCATGTAATACAGGAGGAAGTCTATATGACAAAATATGATCTTGCTGGATTTCATACATGTGAAACAAAGCTTCTCAATCTATTTTCTAATGTAACCCCATTCTAACCTCTCACCACCACCTCAAGGTCCGTTATGAATAGACAGCAAAAGCTGGTCTTGCCAACATCGTTTGTATCCATGAACCTGTGTGTATATAAAACTAAAAAAAACTTAAATTAATGTGATTCAGAGATAGTGGGAACTGCCGATGCTGGAGAATCTGGGATAACAAGGTGTAGAGCTGGATGAACACAGCAGGCCAAGCA